CCACAGATGGGACTCCTGGCTGCAGCCTCGCTTGTGGCAATTTGCTTGAGGGCCCAGGCCTGCAGTTTCTGGGCCGGTGCTGCCCTCTTGTGGGCTCTTCTGGGAGCTTCCAGTGCTGAGGACGTGAGTGCCGGTGTTTGACCAGCAGGGGGAGCCGGCGGGCCGAGACCAGTTTCCCACTGGGCGAGATACAGCCATTTTGCGAGGGAGCTGTTACAGCCAGCCCAGGAACTCTGAAAGCAAGGAAGTTGGAAAGCCCTGTTCTCAGAAGGATGCTGTGCCGGGCTTGTGTTCCAGAAGCTGCAGGGATTGTTTGCTGGCTGCCCCTGAGCTCAGGGACTCTCCACCTTCTGGAGAATTCCTCTTCACGTCAGGACTCTCAGGTCAGGCAGACAGGAGAGCACCTCCCCCATTTGAAGATTCCTGTGGCTTCCCCCCATTTCCAGTAGTGGAAGTAAGCCAGAGCTCTCTGCCCGCAGGGCTGCTGCTTCTGGGGCAAAGAAACCCACACTCCAGTTCTTGAGGGCATTATGAACAGAGGCGGCGACACTGAATGTATACTGGCTCTCAGGCCTCCACACACGTGGCCCAAGTCTGGTCAGCGACCCAAGAGGACATTGGGTTAGGGACCTCCATCTGCCCTGCACAGGAAGGGGTGCGATTCCTGCCTGCCCTGGGAGAGGAAGGCGCCTCTCAGGGTGTGGGCTGGGAGCCTTCGATGGTTTTGCCAATGCCAATCTTAATAGACTCCTAAACCAATTAATTCGTAATTGATGACAATTCCCCAGGGAGAGAAATTCCCAATCAGGATTAGTGTCGTCTTGTGCTCTGAGCATCTCTCATCTCTTGCCTGGTCTTTAGTTTTCGTACATTTTTTTCCTAAAAGATTTGGGTTTGTTTGTTTGTTTTCCCTTCCACTGTGATCCTAAGTTCTTAAAAAAAAAACTCGAGGGAAAACATTTAATTTATTAAAGGAGAGAAAACTTTCCTTTGAAATGGAAAGACTTTCGGGAATAAAAGTTCCTGAAAGGGGAAACACTTCTCACGCCAGTAAACACCTCATTTTATTTCTTGTATGTAATTCGATTTGCACACGTACAATTGGAGAAGCTTTTTGCATTTTTGCTTAGATTGGGTTTTGTCACTGCTTATAGTTTACTTTTTGTGTGTTTTGCTGTATGTTTATGTTTGGAGATATTTCTTTGGTGATATTTATTTTTTCTCTGAGGTGCCTTTTCACTTTTCTTTCGGGTTGGTTTTTGGAATGTGGGGTTGGTTTTTGGAATCTGGGTTTTGTTGAAGGAAGCTAGCAGACTCCTCCAGCTTGGAGATAGGACGTGCCCTGGCATCACTGAAGGCAACTCAGGCTGGGCGCCGGAAATGCCCTCCAAGCCCCCCCTGGGCCATAGTGTAGGGGCACATACACCCCCATGAAGCCATGAGAACCCCCAAGAAAAGGTCTGACTTCTTCCAGACCAGCCCATACCTTCCCAGTCTGCTCGGCCAGGTCTTTGGGCTTGTTTGGGGACTGCTGGTTGACACGTGCCACCCCGGGAGCTTGGTGAGGTCTGGCTGCAGCAGCAGACCAGCCCTACCTGAGGGGTTGCACTGAAGGGAAGCAGGCCCTG